GGCCGATTCTGTGCCCCGACCGTAACACGAACGGGCGGTCTAACATGAATTAGTTCATATAAAAGCATACTATAGATATTTGATCGTGTTACGGCTGGCGCACGACCGAAGAGCGGTCCGGCCCCATCACGGTGGAACGTCAATCAGGCTCGCGCACATGCATCGGTTTCGCCAGATTTGTGCTAACCCCATTGACCTAGGTCAATGGCTCACCCTTACTATTTAATACCGGTGTGTATAATCAAGATTTAGGAGCCTGTTTGTTAGGTGTCTGTTTATGAATACCGGCCTAAGTCTTAGGATTAAACCTTGCTTGTCATCGCAATTAAGTACCTACTTTTAAAAAAGGTTTTAACCGTGTGAAAAGGTCGCTCGTGTCACCTTAGTTGTCCAGAGTAGAATGAACTGAGATTATCATCTAAACACGAGACTTAATGTACTTTGCGTTTATACATTTTGGAGGGTGAATATATTGGTACACTCAGACACGTGAATTGACCTGAATTGCCAGTTTCGATATGAGTATGAGTATTTATAGGCGATTGTATTAATGCAAACGCGTGACTGCATCGTTACAAACGCGCGATTGCATCGATGCAATCGCTTGTAAAGCACCAAGTGTAACGACGCAATCACGCGTTTTTATCGATGCAGTCGCGCGTTTGCATCACTGTTACAAGTCGCCGTGTGTAACTGCTCTATCATAAAAATAGAAACTTAGGCTGCTGCCAGACGTACTGCATGCGCGAAGACTATATACACAACTGCATACAGTCGACACTGGCTGTTTTTGTTGCGGTGTATTGTTGATCCCGAAATGGAAACACATATTGTTATAGCTTAAAAGAAAACGTTTATGAATTAGGTACTTTCTATTAAGGAAATAAACATATCAGTATTAGAATTCTCCATTTAAATATGTCAACAAACTCACGTCCGCAATCCCCGACAGTACTTTGTGGTGGAATTTGCAAAGAAAAGTGCCATTACAAAAAAAAATTAAGCGTCGAGAAAAGTTTCACCAATAGTGTTTTTGTTTTATCATTACGTTGATTAAACCATCAAAGTCGTTTTAGGCAATGAAAATCATAATGATTGGTCTTGATAATGATCGGTCGTATTTTCTAATTTCAAAACGAATTCTGGACTTGCCTATTTTTGCAAGTTATGACGTATTGTTTGTATAATGAAATTTCATTCCATGCGCTGCCTTTAGCGGCAATAGCTGAAAGAATATGAAACGATGTACCAATAACTTAATTTTAAAGTTTTTGCGTGACGTAATCGACACAACCCAAAATGTACAAAGCAAAAATGGCTGACTGAACTCAAGTATGTGGAACTCCGCGTACTGTTGGCACACGTACCTCGCATTCTAAGTACTTCTACTGTATTTATAATCTACGCACACATTCGCATCTACTCGCGGTGCGTTCGCGTTGCATAGTGAGGGCTGCCGCGTGCGCCATTCATTATATAATTGAAGCGTTAGCTCGTTGTTTAAAAAATTAAATCAAATAGTAAGACGCGTTTATTACAACAACTATAAACACAACGTTTATGGTTGTTTGAACATCAGTGCCTCAAATTCAGAATTGTTTAACATTTTATTTCTGTTTCATAACCATGCCCCCATAACCAAGAAAGCTACCAACCCGCGATATTAATACAATAAGTGATAAAAAAAAAATCTTTCAATCGAATGTATGGTAAAAAATATTCCCACTCCTACCGATCCGAGCACAAGGAATAACCCCAAAAG